GGTGTGTGTGGTGATTTTCACAAATAGTGTGATTCGTGTATACATTATGTGTCATCTTAAAAAGCAATGTGCTCTATTAATATTATTGTGTTAAAGAAATATAGCGTATAATCGAAAAAGTAACATAAATTTTGGGAAAAAAGTCCTCGCTTTTCCATCTCACTTGTAATATTTTGCAAAGAAATGCCACATCAAAATCATTTTGCAAATTTTGATAACTAGTAAAATCATTTAGTGTATATTTCTTGAGGATACAATCAACGTTACTTCAAAGTATTTTAATATAAAATTGAGAAATAATTAATTGTTAATAAGTCGGTCTAGTGTCCCAAACATATTTTGTTGGCATTACTAAATTAGTAGACATAGTTGTAGTAAGTGACTAAGTGGGGATTAGTTGAGGTGATTAATTTGATTATATAGGCAAAGTGATGTCACTTAATTGACATTCGCGCTTTCCTACTACTTTGTCGTTTATTAGTAAAATGAAATGGAAGAGATGTAAAAAAGGTTTCTATCAAATGGAAGAATCCTCAAGGACTACTAAAAATTTAATTTCCAAACATATATAAATTCTCTTTATGTAAAACAAACCAGAAATTTTGGGGATATGATCTAATTAAATATGTTAATAATTTTAATCTAGAAAAATAATTACGGAATTTAGTAATGGTGTCAATTTGGAATTTCTTCTTCTCCAAAATATGTGTATAACCATAGATCATGGATAGAAACGATATAAAACAAACATGAATTTTGATATTATTTTGTCCACTATATCCATCATAAATTTTGGTGCTATCCGTCTATTATTATTTAACATGTCTCTCTAGACTCCATTTTCATTCGGAATCGGAACCATGATCTAAAACAAAATGATAGAACTTTAGTAGCTAGGAACATAAATTTATATGTGTATAATCTCTCTCTCTCTTCTTCTTACGACAGAAAAAAGAAAACCTAAAAAACAAAAACTTTAAAAGTATGTGAACAAGATACTAAAAACCATATATCGAATAAAGAAAAAGAAATCCCACTATAACTATAAATTTGATTAATAAATGGAGAAACGACGAAGATAGGCAAAGTCTAAAAATCTCCAAAGTCTCTAACGGAGAAAGAAGGATTCTTATTATTACTATGATCAGGCATATTGCCAGCGTGGCGTAGACCAAGCGTAAGTGACACGTCACCAGCCTGTTTGGTCCCGAATCTTATGACGTTCACACCATCGTCGACGTGGAAGTCACTCCCGTCTTGCTGACACGTGGCGACGGTGAACGAGTCTGAAACGCCGTGAGAAGCGGCGGCGACGGAGGAGAGGAATGAAGAGTCGTTTTCGTGAGGTGTCGACGTCATTATCGTCGTTGTTGTTGGAGTTTGTGCGGTAATGACAGTGAAGTTGCTTTCA